AAGAAATATTTGATAAAAATCCTAATGGTGAGAAGCTGAGAAGGGAATTTAACGCAGCTCTCACCCCCGTGTAAGTATTCCAACCATCAGAAGATCCCACACTGCCCAAGATGTCCTTCTCTCCCATTTGCTGCTGACCTCTAGAAGAGGACGTGGCACTATGAATTAAGGAGACAAAGGAATTTTGCGTGCAGATTTAGTTCAGGTGCCAATTCAGACACTCAGAACCAATGCTTCTTGCTGGCTCCAGGGGGCAACATGCACAAACTACAGAAACCTTCGATCACCCTACAGAAATTTTTAGGCTCCTGGAGCAGTTAAGTACGGGCAGACACCTCCAAATTTCTCACTGCACAGGCACCCGCTTTCTCCAAAGCCTGAGCAAGGTGTCCAAGAGTTTGCTTTATACAGCAAGAGTTATTATTGTAGCTCAAAAATCTGGCCCTTACTCCTCTGAATTCCACTCGCCACATTTTTGCCAAGAGGTGCAGCACTCAGGCGAGGTCCTAGATGTGATGGGAGGGGGCTGGAAACAGGAAAAGCAGCAGCACTCTGCAGCTGAAGAGTTATATGGGACAAAAAGCACACAGACAGGAAAAATAAAGGTTCACTGATAACCAGGCCTATCATGCTGTAGTATATATCATGTTGCAGACTCTATATTACTTCTCTGTTTTCTTTACACATTTTTAACTGTTGATTTAATTTAATTTTGCCATGGCAGGATTAGCAGGCAAGCTCCAGAGGTGAAAGGACATTACATTAAGACAGCACATTAATCCTCTATCCCACCCAAGGCAGAAGCAAAACCAAACAAATAGCAGCTTCCTGGAAATTGAATTTCTGTTATCCAGATGTCAAAGATGTAATACCCCAATTACACAAACTATTGCCAGTGAAGCATGCCAGCGAATATGCAATGTAAATGGGGTGAGCACAGAGCCGCAAAACTGCAGAGTCAGCATCTGGCTCTCTGAGTGAGTGATAATTAGCACTGTGTGTAGACACTAATAAACATTTATGTCTGAAATTACAACTTTTAGCAGTGTTAATAAAGGATATATTGGCAATTCGTAGAATAAAAGGGTCTTGAAAAGAATGTCATATTAAACAATGGCAGGCGCTTCCTGTGCTTGCACAGAGATTTTTTTCCTCCCTAATTGCAAATGGCCACGCTATGTTGCTCGGAAATTAATCAACACAAGCACATACCTAAAAAAACTGGTTGTGTTTCTTTGGTCTCCCCATTAACATCATTGCTGTAGTCAGAGATCTTATATATCTCATGATGGTAATCTGGAATGAAAAACGATAAAAAAAATTAGAACTCAAGTGATCTGGAAAAAATGAACACCGAACACATTGCTACAGTTTTACTACATAATTTATCAATATATCTGCAGTTTATTTCATGTACATCAAATTAACCACAGAAAATGTGCTCTGTATCAGCACCTCCTGAAAAAAAAAAAAAAAAACTTTGCTCACACTGGAGAGACTCAGCTCAAATATTTCACAGATTTTAGGGAATAGCTACGCCTGCCCTAAATTACTGTGTTCATTTTCACAGCAAATTATCCCACCAGATGCCAATTATGTGGCTTCTTGCTTTACAGATGGAAAGCAGATTTATAATGAAAACTTCACCTTTCCCGAGACCAAGGGAAACTTTCAAACTTCACCTCAATCAGAAAATCAGCAACATACATTAGGTCTGTGTAGTTCAGCTATACTAAATCATATTGGTGTCATGGGCCTCCGAATTGTGAGGAAAGGAGGATCAGGGACACCTTAGGATATTCACCTATAAAAATAACATCTGTGATGACCCTAAGAATAAACATTAGCATCTGGTACTGAGAGATGTTACAGGATTTAAAAAAAAAAAAAAAAAAAAAATCACCATTGAATTTATATTTCAAATAAAAGAATATTTTTTTGTGAAGATCTCTGCTGTAATCCCAGACAAGTGTTCAGTAAAACCAGAGCTTTGTTTACATTTGTGTACAGAGGGAATAGTAAGTCCAAGGAAAAAAAAAAATGTCTAAAGGCAGCTCTCCTGGATGCTTTTTCTGACTCTGCTACTGGCACATACTTTGTCCTTTGGCAAATCGCTCAAGACTGAACAATATTTTCAGTGTCTTGAAATAGCCACCTCCCCACCTAACTCCTTTAACACCCTCCCAGTTCCCAGCACTCTCAGCTACTCACTCTGTAAACTGGTTTTTATGTTTACCTGCCTCACAAAAAACGAGGTAGAGATTAACTCACGGAAGAGCACTTTGGGGGATTCACTTCAAAGGCACAACAGAAACGGAGGATGGCATAAGCAGCTCCTCCTCCCACAAGCAGCACACCTGCACCTCTGACAAAACAGCTATGGGATCAGAAAGGTCTCCTGGAAGCCAAACTTTTTTTTTTGTAATGTGCTGTTTATTTGTACAGCATGACAGTCTCGAGGGCACAAGAGGAGGAACAACCCAATAAGTAAACTAGAATCAAGACTAACGCAGCGATGCAAAAGAAAGAAAAGGGCCTGGAAAGAAAATGAGGGAAAAAAACCACAACCCACAACAGGGTGTTGAAGAGGTCAGCGATGAGGTGCTACACAAAGGGTTCCTCTGCCGACCAAGCCCAACAAGTGAAACGGTTAAAGGTGAAGTTTGAGATATGACGTCAAGGAAGTAAAGGCTCCTTTCATAAGGCTAAAGTGATGAGATTTATGCCGACTGCCTTCCACGGTCATTAGCCGTCCTGCTGAGGAGGGGGAGTAATGGAGTGGCTTGGTGGGCACCTGGTGGCCAGCCAAGGTCAACCCACCATACTCTGCATTTTCATCCTCTCAAGGGTGTCCAACATCTGCCGGGAGTGAGAACGTGGAAACTAGGAATAAAATGACTTACAGACTCATGGTTCTTAGATATATAGATTACACGTGGTTTCTTCTCTAGCACTTCCCTCTGTGCATCCAGCTGGCCACAATATTCTTCTGATCTACAGCTGTTGCTTTAGAGTCACCACATTTCACCCCAGAGGCGGCTGCGTTTTAGTGCAGGAATGGATTTCCCCTCGATCTGGTCATTATTGATCATCTCGATAAGGTGCTCTGAAGTTTTTTTTGGGACAGAATAAGCACTCTACAGGCATACATCGTTAACAGATGGTGTGTTACCAACAAACCGACACAGCATACCCTTTTCTCTTTGGTTTCCTTCTTCTGCCTCGGATGTCACAGTCCAGGCGCTGTGAAATCCATATCAATTTCACAACAGTAAACACTAAACTGTGACATTACAGAATGACTCCAGCAAGAGGCAAAGGCCAATTACAAGAGACAACTATTTATACATAATTATCTTTCTAATCAACTGTGATAGAAAAAGAATATGCAAGTGCAGACTCACATGCAAAATGTGATTTTTATCCCCTCCATTCTCAAAGTACAAAGACATGATTTTCTCTCCAGGATGTGTTTTTAGTGTAGCTTCCTATTTGACTTTCCACCTCCAAAAAGAGACCCCAGATAAAATAGGAATTACTAATAACGTACCGCCATAACTGAATTTACCTATTAAAACAAGGTTAAATAGATCGTCTTGTACACCAAGGCATATCTAAACCTCTAACGAGTGGCAACTGAGAATTTGCAAAATAATCATCTATTTCTGACAGCACACATATTCTTTTTACAGCTCCATTAGGACAGAAATAAAACCGAGTCTTCAATTTCAGTTTTGCTTTTCCACGTTTCACTTTCAGCCCCCCAGGCTCCAGCTCGGTCCTGCACTAACTGTGCCTCCAAGTCGGGAGCATGTTCGATATCAAAATCTCACAAAGCAAACCTGTTCTCCATCGAAATTAAACCCCTCGATAGGTTTGCTAATGCATACAAGACATCCAACACATTTCAGACAATTCTGACAGGTCACTGCCCCTCTAGCTTTTATTTGGGAGTATGTCCGATGCTCCAGACCCCCCTACGATACAGCAGTCATTATTTACGATTCCTACCAAGTGAGTTTATTTCCATCTTTAAATTTCTTCACATCAAACGTGATTTTGCCGAGTGCCTGCAAAGACATTGCTCTTCAGACAGAAAGTCTTGACACTCGCGTTGTGTGTCCCCCCCCCCTTTCCCCAAGTGTGACATTACACCCAAGCAGTCACCTGCCTTGAACTTGGCATGCAGGACACACACCGCGTTTCATGGAGATATTCCCGTCCAATACTTGCAAACACAAAAGGAAAAGAGCTCTCAAGTCAAATCCATCAGGGCAAAAAGACCTCATTGGCCGGTGAAGGGATAAATCCCCAACAAAAATAAATCCCTACGGCTGGGAAGCCCACCTGTTAAAATGCCTACCAGTGGCTTTATCTTTTTTTTTTTTTTTTGCTTTTGTTAAAAAAAAAAAAAAAGCAACAACAAGACTGAAACACAGAGCTGTGTTTCTTCCCCGACATGAATCCAAACATTTCCCCCCGAGATCCCTTTTAAAATACCCCTTTTACCAAAAGCGAACACACCCTGAGCGAACAAGTTCCACGCCAGCGGCTCTCCCCTGCCCACGTACAATTAATTAGCTGCGTGGATTTTTAATAAAGCAACCTCTATTCGGCTTCTCTTTGAAATACGCGGATGTACGCAGTCAAGGGGAGGAAAAAAAACACCCAAAACACAATAAATCCACAGGAGTTGAATACTAAGAAGGTCCGTTGCTGCTCAAGTGTCATTATTTTTTTGCTCGCTTCCCGATTTTACCTTTTCTCCCCCCACACATTACATTTTGGAACTGCCAAAATTCTTTGTTTCAACATTCTTCTAAAAGAAACATTCCTCTCAGTTTGTTTTAAAGCAATTTAAAAAAAAAAAAAAAAAAGAAAATTCCCCAAAACATGTCCACCTTTTGGGGGGATGGTGGTGGTGGGGTCCTTTTTGCAACAACACGTAACGCACATAGAAAAAATAGTAAGAAAAAAAAGAGGAAGGGGGGGTTAAAAGAAAAAAAAAAAAAGAATAAATGCAATGGTTTCGGGGAGTTGAACTAGAGGATTGCGGAGTTAAATAACAGATAGGGGGGGG